ACATCCTTTGTGTTTCTATACTGAATTCTTTGTCAAATTAAACCTTTTTTTAAAAAAAACATTTTAATTTTATTTTTAATTTTAAAAATATTTTTCCTTTATTGACTTTGGAGAGGGAGGGAGAGGGAGAGAGAGAGGTGGAAACATTGATGAGGGAGAACATAGATTAGCCGCTTGCTGCATGCCCTCCACTGGGAATGTGCCCTGACCGGGAATCAAACTGGTGACCTCTTGGTGCATGGGGTGACGCTCAACCACGAGCCACACCAGCTGGACAAATGAAACCTTTTAAGAGATGAGCCAGGATTTTAGCTTTTTAAAATACTATCTATCATATGTCCTCATGCAACTCTGTTTACTTTAGATTGCACAGCCAGGAGCAGCATATTTTTATGTTGAACTTGACACAGGAGAGAAACTTTTCCACAGAATTAAAAAGAATTTTCCTTTGCAGTTTGGAAGGTTCGTATCGTTTTCTTATTTTATATGTATTTCCACTAGACTTGCTCTGAAAGTAGTGGGGTCAATGGACAGTTAAATAAAAAGCCAAATAAGAAAGAGTTCTTGGCCCAGGGAAGCAATAGTCTTGGGGCAAGACAGGTATTTAACATATATGACAATAATGTGAAAAGTACCACAACAAAGTTTTGAGGAACAATGTATTTTAGAAATTCAGAGAAGGGGAGCTCATGTTTAAAGGGTTGAGGCTTCTTGAAAGGGTTGAGGTTGAGCCTGAGAGAGATTTAGAGGGCAAACACTGGACTCTCAGAATTCTAGCCTGGGGGCATAAAGTACTACCATTAATTGGACGTATGCTGTGTCAGGCACTGTGCCCAAAACTTTACATACATTGCCTCATTTAATCTTCCCAACTCTGTAAGGTAGGTACTGGCATCTCAATTTACCCGTAGGGAAAAGGAAGCTTTAGAGCAGTACCCAATAGAACTTTCTACAATAATGGAAATGCTGTATAAATCTGCACTGTCCTATGCAGTAATTATTAAGCCATAAGTGACCACTGACCACTTGAAATGTGGCTAATGTGACTGAGGAACTGAATTTTTAATTTAATTTAAATTAATTGGGATTAAAATTTAAATGTCTATATTTGAATACTGGCTCCTATAATGGACAGCATGGTTCTAGAGTGTTTATGCAGCTTTGTCCATGGTCACACAGTGGTAGGTTCAAATTCAGGCCTATTGTACCACAAAATGTGAGGTCAATAAATGTAGTTCCAAGTTGTTCAGAAAAGTAAATGGAATTTGAGGGCTTAAGAAAGTGGTAGGACCTGAGCTGGTTACTTAAAATGGGTATGATTTGCCCTGACCAGTTTGGTTCAGTAGTTAGAGTGTCAGCCCACGGACCAGAGAGTCTCGGGTTCAGTTCTTGCTAAGGACACATACCTTGGTTGCAGTTTGTCCCTGGCCCCGGTTGGGGTTGTGTGGGTGGCAACCACTTGATGTGTCTCTCACATTGATGTTTTTCTCTCTCTCTTCCTCCCTCTTTCCCTCCTGCTCTATCTGAAGATAAATGCAAAAATGTCCTCTGGTGAGGATAAAAAAAATAAGTAAATAAAATAAAATGGGTATGATTTTGATAGAATGGCAGAGATGGCACTCAGAGCAAGAGAAAATGGTATAAGTAACGTCAGGGGAATTTGCATGCCTTCTTTGGGTGATGCTAAGGAGGGCTCTCTGACTGGAGAGGAATGGGGGTGGGGGAGCGGTTTTCAAACTGATTCTATTTTGACTTCTTTGTGTTCTTTCTGCAGGGAGGTCCTGGCAAGTGAAGCTATCCTTAATATTCCTGACAAGTCTGACTGGAGGCAGTGTCAGATCAGCAAGGAAGAGGAGGAGACCCTGGCTCGCCGCTTCCGGAAAGACTTTGAGCCCTTTGACTTCACTTTGGATGACTAAGCAAAGGGAAAGGCACTTTATGAACTTCACAGGAAGTAGTAGCAGCCTGTTTTTTAAAGAAACTAGTCTCCCATGGGGACTGTTTCCCTGCCTCTCTTTGGTGCATTCCCATGGAACCTGTCTGCAGTAAGAGGCCTAAGATTGAATATTTTTCGGAAATTCACATTCCAGGATGAAAATCCTATGTTAAAAGCATGTTTGTCATCCAGCTCCAAGTACAGCTTTTGTTTATCAAAACAAAAACATTTAAATTATCAAATAAAATCTAGATACTTTTCCATGCTTGGGAGGTACCTTATCTTTATGTTATCTGTAACCATTGAAATGAAGTGGTGTGTGTAAATAGGAGGAACCAGGGCTTTAGGCCCAGCTGTTATTCCAGGATCTCATAGGTGGCTTCTCCTTGAGCAACCTAGGATGGAGAAGGGACGCAGAGCCTTTGCCATTTTTCTTATAGCATTCACCTTATTGATAAAAAAACAAACAAACAAACAAAAAAACTCAGTCTTTCAGCAAATACTTAATGCCTATGTGCCAGGCATTTTTCTAGGCTCCAGAAGTATAGCCATGTCCTAATATGGTCTCTGTTGTCCCAGAGTTTACAGTCTAATTGGGAAGAGAAGGGCCAGATTTAAGAAAAGAAGATGAGTTCTGCTTTAGATATGTTGAGTTTTAATGTGCTGATGGATAATTATAAACTCATGGAGATCTGGATTGGTGATAGGGTTTTGGGATCATCAGGGTATAGGTCACAGGTGAAATTAGAATGGATGAAAATAAGATAGGGTGAATACAGTCCTAAGCTGAAGATAACTACCTTGGAAATAGAGTGATCTAACAAGTATATGGAGAAGGAGCAGAGAGAGACATTATAAGACAATGCCATATCTAGAAAGACAAAAGAAAAATAATTGCTCCTATATATTGGGCACTTGGCCCAGACACTTTCACTTAATCCTCACAAAATATCTATGAGGTAGGTACTATTACCTTCTCTTATTTTATACATGAAAGAAACAGGCTGGCAAACTTGAATATTATGGAGCCTGCAGTCAATTGGCCCATGATTAAAAAAAAAAACAAAAAAAAAAAACTGCAACGTCCTTGTGAATGGGAATGTTTTTAAAGAGTGAACTACAGGAAACAACCAGGTTCCTGCAAAGATGGCCCCTTCCCGGTCAGCCCAATCATGAGATTCCTCAGGTCCTCAGCCTGTCTCCCTGGCTCTTCCAAATTAGAATTAGATTTTGTCCCCACCTGTGGAGATCAGACACTCCAGTGCTAGCTAGGCTGTACAACTAGCAAATGAGGGCTTCATACTATCAGTACAATCTGCATCACCATCATCAGTGCCTGCTGTCCAGCTCTAAGGGAAGTGGTCTTAGAGGTGCCATTTGTAATCACCTCCAAGTCTGATACTCTAGCTCCATGGCTACCAAGCACACAGGGAAAACCAGAATTTCCAATACCACACATATTACCAATGACCTACAACATGACGCTTTCTATCTTGAAGTGCCCAACAATCTGATTGCACTATTCAAGGATTTTGGTGACAAAAGACCGATTTGCTCTGCCAAAAGCTGATTGATTCAGTGCTTCCAAAGCAGTCAGAGACATTGCTGTGGTGTAGACAATGTATCCACCTTTAAATGTCTTACATGTAGCCCAGCCAGTGTGGCTCAGTGATTGAGTGTGGACCCATACACCAAGAGGTTGCCAGTTCAATTCCCAGTCAGGGCACATGCCCAGGTTGTGGGCCGAATTCCCAGTGGGGGACATGTAGGAGGCAGCCAATCAATACTCTTTCATCGATGTTTCTCTCTCTCACTCTCACTTCCCCTCTCTCTAAAATCAAGAAAGAAAAACAAATTTAAAATGAATAGAAAAATAAACGCCTTAATAAAATAAAAATGTCTGACATGTTACATCTGTGGTGGCTCAATCGGTGTCACAAAGTGTTAGTAGGAATTCCAAGTACTCAGATCATAGGCCGAACTGTGCAAATGACGATCTACGTGTACATGATCTCAAAAAGAGTCTCAAATGACCCTGCTGAACGTAACTGACACATTTCTTCAGAGAATTTGATTCCACGATGATTGTGATACCTGAAATGATTGAAGAGATCCCCCAAATACGGAAGCGAATGACCGACTCATGGCAAAAACGAGGAGCTGGCTCCCCTATGTTAAAGCAATCCGCCATTGGAAGCACTTTTTTGCATCAACGGTATTCCAGAAACTTTCCTCTGCCGTCCTGCATCACGCATGAGACAGTCCCCACAATGAGGAACTACGGCAATGGCAAACCCATCACTGTAGACTACTTGACAGCAAGCTCCGTGAAGCATTTGGGGAAAAAGCTCCTGAAGTCAGGGGGAACATTCTTTACTCTGAAACAGCATCACATCCTTGAGTCGTTTGGGATTACAGGGCATATCCTGGAACAACGTGTAAGATGTTAAGCAAAAGAAAAGCTAAGCGTGACTAGTCTATGGAAGGTGATTAATCATTTAATGGGGGGGGGGGCTGGGAGTGAACTATAAGGCTAACGCACGAGTGGGCCTGTTAACGCAGGATTCTTCCTAGTTCTTCAGATTCCTCAATATTTAAATTAATGGCCTTGCCAGTGCCAGCTCAGCTGGTGGCGGGGTTGACGAATACATGGCAGAGGTTTGAAGGTGAAGTGTAGATAGGGGTGGAGACGATGTGAAGTTTAGAAAAGACCAATATGGGACAGACTGGTTTGGAAAGTGATTTGAAGGAAATCACTAGAGAGATCTTACATTTTTGAAGATTAGAAAAAACAAGTGGGTTCTCTCAGCTAGGAAAATATCCAGGGTACTCACCGGATTGATTGAAAGAGCCCTCCTTTTCTCCCTACCGTCACTCCTGCTCGGTAGCTGTGGCACCCGGGGAAAACTTGGGGCGGGGCTTTTCCTGCGGGAGTTACCGGAAGTGACGCATTCTTATCGCGAGAAGAAAGACGCGCGAGCTTCCGCGGCCCGGAACCGGTCTTGGAACTGTGGTGGAACCTGAGGCTGCTTGCCCCCCCCGCCCCATGGAGCGGCCCCCGGGGCTGCGGCCGGGCGCGGGCGGGCCCTGGGAGATGCGGGAGCGGCTGGGTACCGGTGGCTTCGGAAACGTCTGTCTGTACCACCATCGGGTGAGGCGGGGCGCGCGAGGGAGCGGCGGTGGGTTTGTCAGCGTCTGTGGAACACAGCGGCTATCAGTTTGTGAAAGATTGTCGGTGTCGGTGAGACCTTGGGCAGTATTGGGAGCCAGTGAGTCTGTGCGTGCGTGCGTGTGTGTGTGTGTGTGTGGTATTGTGGACCAGTGAGCCTGTGCCTGCGTGTGCGTGTGTGTGTGTAGTATTGTGGGCCAGTGAGCCTGTGCGTGCGTGTGTGTGTAGTATTGTGGGCCAGTGAGCCTGTGCGTGCGTGTGTGTGTAGTATTGTGGACCAGTGAGCCTGTGCGTGCGTGTGCGTGCGTGTGTGTGTAGTATTGTGGGCCAGTGAGCCTGTGCGTGCGTGTGTGTGTAGTACTGTGGGCCAGTGAGCCTGTGCGTGCGTGTGTGTGTAGTACTGTGGGCCAGTGAGCCTGTGCGTGCGTGTGTGTGTAGTACTGTGGGCCAGTGAGCCTGTGCGTGCGTGTGTGTGTAGTACTGTGGGCCAGTGAGCCTGTGCGTGCGTGTGTGTGTAGTACTGTGGGCCAGTGAGCCTGTGCGTGCGTGTGTGTGTGTGTAGTACTGTGGGCCAGTGAGCCTGTGCGTGCGTGTGTGTGTAGTACTGTGGGCCAGTGAGCCTGTGCGTGTGTGTGTGGTATTGTGGGCCAGTGAGCCTGTGCGTGCGTGTGTGTGTGTGTGTGTGTAGTATTGTGGGCCAGTGAGCCTATGCGTGCGTGTGTGTGTAGTACTGTGGGCCAGTGAGCCTGTGGGTGCGTGTGCGTGTGTGTAGTATTGTGGGCCAGTGAGCCTGTGCGTGCGTGCGTGTGTGTGTGTAGTACTGTGGGCCAGTGAGCCTCTGTGTGTATGTGTGTGTGCAGCATATTGTGGGCCAGTGAGCCTGTGCGTGCGTGCGTGTGTGTGTGTAGTACTGTGGGCCAGTGAGCCTCTGTGTGTATGTGTGTGTGCAGCATATTGTGGGCCAGTGAGCCTGTGCGTGCGTGCGTGTTTGTGTGTGTGTGTAGTACTGTGGGCCAGTGAGCCTCTGTGTGTATGTGTGTGTGCAGCATATTGTGGGCCAGTGAGCCTGTGTGTGCGCTTGCAGTGTTTTGACCAGGTGAGCGTGTGTGTGTGTGTGTGTGTGTGTGTGTGCAGTATTGTGGGCCAGTGAGCCTGTGTGTGTGTGTATGGTGTGAGAGAGAGAGGGAGAGGCGAGAGGGGAGTAGAGGGGAAAAGGGAGAGGGATTGTGAGCCTGGTGATTGAGGTCCCAGGTCAGCGTGTGTGAGATAGAGCTATTAGGGAGAATTAATAGCATGGGTGTCAAGATGTAACAAGGTGTTTACCGAGAGTGACGGTACTTGTGTCCCTGTGAATGTAGAGTGTCAGAGCATGTGAGGCAGATGCACATCAGAGTGTGCATTGTGAGCGTGAAGGTATGAGAAAATGTGGCTGAAGGGGGGCTTCCTGTTGGAATGTGTGTGTACTTGTGTGTGCTTGGAGACCATGTGATATCAGTAGGGCTGGAGTAGGCAAGGAAGGTTTCATGGTGGCTCCACAGGTAAGCTTTTGGAAACTTTGGGTAGGCTTTGGAATTGGGATTGGGTTCCATGTGGGAAAATAGTATGAGGATACACTGTTGAGAATGATCATGGCTTAACCACGGAAAGGAGATCGATTGGTGGTGAGATGCTCTAGTGGAGGGAAGACAGCTAACGTTTGACTTGGGAATTTTGCCTTGTTTTAGTTAAAATGTTTAATCAGTGTAGCAGCAGTTAATAATCATGTTTGAGCTATTCACTTTTTGATATACCAATGAAAGCTATGAACCTTTCCCTAGAAAAATGCACAGAGGCACATTCACACAACTTGATGCATTGCCATTTGAGGAAGTTCATGCTTTCCTAAAGGACATTCACAGACCTTTTAGATGTATAGACCATGGACTGATAACTCCTGCAGTATAGCCTTTGTTTGGGCATCTGTAAAATAGTTATGATAATATATATGAGTCTGTTTGAGAGTTAAATAAGATAGCATGGGTAAAGCTAAGTACAGTACCTGGCCCATAGTAAGCCCTCAGATGTAGCTCCTGATGCTGCTGTGTTGTTGCTATTATCATCATCTTCGTCATCATTAATTTACCATAAAAAACGAAATGCTGCCCTGGCCGGTTTGGCTCAGCGGTTAGAGTGTCGGGCCTGCAGACCAATGAGTCGCGAGTTCGATTCTGGTCAAGGGCACGTATCTTGGCCCTGGTCCTGGTTGGGGCTATGCGGGAGGCAGCCACTCGATGTGTCCCTTTCACGTTGATGTTTCTCTCTCTCTCTCTTCCTTTCTCTTTCTCCCACTCTATCTGAACAAAAATGGAAAAATGTCCTTGAGTGAGGATTTAAAAAAAAGAAAATGTCAAGATAAAAATGGTGTTCTCAGAAGATTTTTTTTGTGAAAGATAAATCTGAGTGGAAAAACATATGGGACCATGCCCTGGCCAGTATGTCACAAAGGTTAGAGCGTCTGCCTGCGCACCGAAGGGTCTCAGGTTTGATTCCCAGCCAAGGGCACATATCTGGGTTGCAGGTTCAATCCCATGACTGGGGGCGCCTGTGGTAGCAACCAGTCGATGTGTCTCTCACATGATGTCCCCCCGCCCCTGCTACTTCCTCCCTCCCTCCCTTCTACTCTTTCTGTAAATCAATGGGGAAAATATCCTTGGGTGAGGATTAACAAAACAAACAAACAAAAGAGTAGGTGAGATAGAAACTGAGGAGTTGAAGGATTTTATAGAATGGATCTTTTTGAAATAGCTTTTCACCTCATTCATAAGACAATTTGGGTTTAATGTTTATGGTTGTACTATTTCCCTGGTGGTGAAAGCTTACTTGGGATATAGCTAAAAACAAAAGAACGGTTGAAAGGTGGGAGGACTGTGGTTAGGCTAGATTATAGTCTCAGTTCCTTTCTTATCTCTCCATACATCTACTTATTACCTTATCTCTAGCTTCTTCCTCCCGCCTTCCACCCCTCTCTCCCATTTAGACTATCCCATATAAGTTATGTCTTGCTTTCTCATCTATAAAATATTTCCTTTCCTCTTGTTTGGTCCCAACTGATGTACTTGAGCTGCATTATTTCTATTGCCAGAATGTGATGAAGTCTGGCTGTTTCCTGTAATGTACATTAGGTTTGGTTTAATTTCAGTCAGAACTGGGTAAATTACTAACCATAAGTGAGAGCCATTAGGTTTATTTTATAAATATAACGACAGAAGTACAATTATTGTTAGGACTTTTTATGTTGTTTGAAATGCAAAGAAATCAGGAACTAATTTGGAGTTTTTGTATTAGGTTTGATCATACTAAAACCATTTCTTGCTATTGAGGCCAGGGAGCCATGAATTATCCTCTTCATTCTAGTTCTGCTGGAGGCTGCTGCCCTTGTTAGCTGTCTTGACTAAGCTCAAAAATAGGTTTGTTGGAGAGACAGAGTATTTGTATTTTCTAGCAGTATATTGTGAAACAGTGTTCTGAAGAGACCTCTTACAGGATCAGCCTCAGTCACTTTTTGCTAATGTGTTTTTGTGTGTTTGCTCAGTTGTAAAGCATTGGTTCTCATGGTTTACCTAGCAAAAGCATTGACTCTAGAGAGCTGTGGATAGATATGTTTAATTAATGAAGATAAAGAGTTTTGTTTCCCCAGGTTGGCATTTCTTTGATCTGCACAAGAACCTAATTTATATTTTTTTTCTGTTGATTTTCTATTTTGGTAGGAACTTGATCTCAAAATAGCAATTAAGTCTTGTCGCCTAGAGCTGAGTACCAAAAACAGAGAACGCTGGTGCCATGAAATCCAGATCATGAAAAAGTAAGTGTACTTAACTTATATTTTCTGAGTTCTGCAGCCCAGCCAGAGGCCATCGTAGAGATGAAGGCCGGGAATCTATTCCTCTTAGGATCTTTTTGGGAGTATATTTTTATCTTTCTCACTAAATAGATGTGTTATATTTCAAATAATAGCATCACATTATGATTAATTGGGTTTAGTTTAAAAAGTCAGCTAGGTGTTACCAAATTCAGATCTATGAGTGCAGAATATGTTTCTTCTGGATCTTGGGCAATGCTCATCTATTTAACTTTCTAGTTAAATAACAATAACTATTCTCATTTCTTGTTTTCACATAGTTTTGTTAGTGTATCTATTGCTTTGTAAAAATTTACTCCAAACTTAGTAGCTTAAAACAACAAATATTTAGAATTTTACAGTTTCTCTGGTTTAGGAATTTGGGGATGACTTACCTGGGTTGTTGTAAGGCAGATCTCTCCTGAAACATTCCAGAATGTTGAGTGGAGCTGTAGTCATCCAAAGGCTTGATTGGGACTGGAGTGTCCACTTCTGAGCTCATTTATATGGCTGTTGGTTAGAGGCATCACTTTTTCACTATATGGTCCTCTTTATTTATTTATTTATTTATTTTTTTGTGGTATGTGCCCCTAGTGGGAACCGAACCCGGGACTTTCTGGTCCATAGGCCAATGCTCAGCTGCTGAGCCAAACTGGCTAGGGCTTATGGTCCTCTTTATAGGGAAGCTTGAATGTCTTTGTGACGTAGCAGTTAGCTTTCGCCAAAGTGAGTGATCTGAGAGAGAGAGAGAGAGAGAGAGAGAGAGAGAGAGAGAGAGAGAGAGATGAAAGCTGACATATCTTTTATGATCTTTCCTTGGAAGTTGTACTCTGTCCTTTCTGCCATATTCTATTTGTTAGCAATGAGTCACTAAGTATAGCACACACTCAGGGGGAGGAGAATTAAACTCTTGAAGTGAGAAGTGGACATATTCTAAAACCTCCACGGGTAGTGTGCCAAGTGCTTTACAAATAATTCTTCTAGTTGTTACAGCAACCTTGTATTTATGTATTATTCCTATTTTATAGATGAGGAAATTGAAGCTCATAGAGTCAAAATTGGTAGGTAAGAGAGTCTGGCTTTGAAATAAGCACTTTCTGACTTTAGTATCTGTTCTCAATTCACTTTAATGCTTCTCAAACTTGGCTATATGGCAAAATTGTCAAGAAAGCTTGATAGCAATCTAAATTTTCAGGTTCTACACATAGAAATTGTGTTTCTTTAGGTCCCTAGGATCTAGAAATCTGTTTCAGTTTTGAGAACCACTGCATGATGATGATGATGGCTGGGATGATATATTTTAAGTTAAAAAAAAAAAAAAGATGTTAGAAAACAATGTATAGCATGATGCAGTGTTTATTGAAAAAATATATCCGTGCGCAGATTAAAAACTGGAAGGAAATTTGCCAAAAGTATAATAGTGTTCACCTATGGGTAATTCTGTGATTATGGGAGAGGCAGTATGATACAGGCTTTTGAACCAAACTGCCAGATTTTAGTCCTTACTTGACCACCTACTTGCTGAGTGACCTTATGTTACTTAACTAATTTGTGCTTCAGTTTCTCGTGTGATGAGACTAATAATAAATTTCCATATAGAAGGATTATTATGACAAGTAAGTGAGTTAATGTATATAAGATACTTACTACTTGGCATATAGGAGTATAATTGTAATAATAGTGATAGTATTTTTATTTGTATTATCTTTTTTAAAATTATTAATTTTTCATTATACAAATTAGAAATTAGAATATTACAAATAATGCCATTTTTTCCCTCATTGCTCCTCAATATATTACGATTTCAAACCCAGTCCTTTTTCATTGGAAAAAATTTATTATGTTTTCCTCTTTTGTTAGGTTGAACCACTCCAATGTTGTAAAGGCCTGTGATGTTCCTGAGGAATTGAATTTTTTGATTAATGATGTGCCTCTTCTAGCAATGGAATACTGTTCTGGAGGAGATCTCCGGAAGGTAGTGTGGATGTTTTGAGATGATGAAATAGTAAATCATGAACTTTAACAGTGTTTGAATCATGTTCAGTATGATAATTTAGAATAAGGGTCAATAAAGTATGGCCTATTAACCTGTTTTTATGGCTGCTTTTTTACTATAGCTGCAGCGTTGAATAGTAACAGAGACCACATGGCCTACAAAGCCTGAAGTATTTATTGTCTGTCTCTTTATAGGGAACATTTGCTGACCCGATGTAGAACATGCATTCTTTTGTTGTTGGTTGTGTTTGCAGGGTTGGACTATATTGGTGGTGTTAGATCAAAATATCAATATATGAGGTGTTTATAAAAAGGATACCCCCCCCCCCCCGCCCTAGATCTTGTCTATTGTAAAGAATGCTGCTATAGAACCATAGGCATGGGTATATGGAACAGACTGACAGATTTCAGAGGGATGGGTTGTGGGGAGGACTGGACAAAGGAAGGTGAAGGGGTTAGCTAAAGAACATACATGCATAGCCCATGGACACAGACAATAGTGTGGTGAGGGCCAAGGCAAGGGGCGCGGGGGCTGGGAGGAGGTGGGCAAAGAGCAGGAAATGGGGAACATCTGCAATAGTGCCAACAATAAAAATTTAAATTTAAAAAAAGGTTTTTCAATAACAGTTTACTCTCAGTATTATTTTGTATTGGTATCAGGTGAATAGTATAGTGGTTAGACAATTATATAATTTACATAGTGATCCCCTTGATATTTCCATTACCCAACTGACATCATACATAGTTATTGCAATATTTTTGGCCAAATTACCTATGATGTACTTTATATCCCCGTGACTGTTTTGTAACTATCAATTTGTACTTCTTAATCCCTTCACCTCTTTCTCCCAGTCCCTCAGTCTCCCTCCCCCAAAAGTTTTTTCTCTATTGAATATCTTTCTTTCCCATCTTATTTTAAATCTGCTATGTGGATTTTTTATCTGTGAGGTTTTTTTTTTTTAAGTTTATTTATTTATTTTTTTATCCTCACCCGAGGATATTTTTCCATTTTTTGTACAGATAGAGTGGGAGGGAGAGAGAGGAAAGGAGAGAGAGAGAAACATCGACGTGAAGGGACACATCGAGTGGCTGCCACCCGCACAACCAACCAGGGCCGGGGACAAACTGCAACCGAAGTACGTGCCCTTAGCGGGAACCAAACCCGGGTCTCTGCGGACCGCAGGCCGACGCTCTAACCGCTGAGCCAAACTGGCCAGGGCTCTGTGAGGTTTTTCAACCTCTTTGAATTTCAAATACTTTCTCCCTTTACCTTTACTTATATAAGTCTTGTCATGAAATTTACATGTTCTCTGTGTGGATTCAGTCATTTTCCCCTTATTATATTTTCTTAATGACTTATTTTCTTATTTGAATATTCTCTTAGATATAGTGACTAAATGTGTCGCTGTTATTGCCCAGCAACATTGGCAGTATACATTTTTAGACTTTTTTTTTCTTTAGCTACTCAACAAACCAGAAAATTGCTGCGGACTTAAAGAAAGCCAGATACTTTCTTTACTGAATGATATAGGTATGTAATTAATATGAAAATACCATTATGATTTAATACCCCCTTGATTCATAAAAGATTCTATATATTACTATAAAGCATTTATTTTAGCATCTATAAGAAATTATCAGAACATTTAACTGTTATTGTTGATGCTAAGTTAAAACTAGGACATTTTGTTATTTATTTTTTTATTTTTGGCTAGGAGTCAATTATTGGCTAATAGGTGTTCCAGTTGCTGACAAAACAATGGTGGTAAATTACCTACTTTAATTTTACTTTTCCTCCTTGATTCATATAGTAATTTTATTTGACAGTGGCATTGCATCTGTTAAATAGGTTCTCAAGTCAACTCTTAGGGTGAAATCTCTTTTTAATCAGCATAATTCCTGAAAAATCCCTAAAATAATCAGTACCTAGGCCCTTGGAGCAAGCTGAAAAGCCAAGAATGTGTTTCCCTATGTATTTCTAATTTGTTTTTTTTCCTGGGTCATGGAGGCTAAAGCTTAGTTGAAGAAGGAGGGAAAGGCTACTAGGATAAATGTAGGGTTTTTCTACATTGCTTGTTCCATTTCTTTTTAATGTTAATTCTCATAAATTAAATGACCGTATATTATTACTCTATAGTATTTGTTAAATGTTACTGGATTTTCTGTGGAGAAAATCTGAACTGCTATAACATTGAGTAGTTATAGTCCCTATACATTTGAACATTAGAGAAGTACAAAATGTGAGATGAATTTTTTTATTCTGTGTTTTCTGTTAACTCAAAATACATTTTAAATTTTATTTAGGGTCTGGGATCCGATATTTGCATGAAAACAAAATTATACATCGTGATCTAAAACCTGAAAACATAGTTCTTCAGGATGTTGGTGGAAAGGTGGGTGAAAACTGAAGAAATTTTCCATGACAATTGAATACAGTATCCCTGAGGTAGTCTTTGAGGTTTGGTGTCCTTCGTAGCACTCTTACTTTTTCTACACAGCCCTCACTAACACTAAACTGTGGTTTTGTGTTTAGTTTGCCTCCTCTGTTACCACAGTAACTCCATTAGAGAAGGAACTGCACCTGTCTTGTTCACTTCTGTTTTTCCAGCACAGTATCTAGCAGAAATAGTAGGCAGTAAGTAAAGAATTTATTAATCCTTATGAAGCACATTAAAAAATAACACCTGCATCATGGGTCTGCTTTACTTTGAGAAAAAAAGGTACATTTACTTATGTTGTATATTTTTTTAAAAACTCATTTTCCTCCACAAAATTCCTAAGTTCTATGTTTAATTAAAATTCAAAACCATGATTTCTCAGATTTTTAAATGAGTCATCTTGAGAGGAACCACAAGTTATGAATTGACTCCTGAAATATATTTTTTTAAATCAGAATAATTTGAGCAGCTTTTTTGCTTTTAGCACTAAACTTTCATCCCAATAAAGATATAAAGACAAGCCCTGGCCATTTTGGCTCAGCGGTTGAGCATCGGCCTGTGGACCAGAGAGTCCCAGGTTCGGTTCCTGCTAGGGGCATGTACCACAAAAAAGAAAAGATGTAAAGCCAAGACTCTGAACTTTGAATTGGATTGTGTGGTCTTATAGTTAGTTAAGATGGTGGTCAGTCTGAAGTGATGATACCTTGATGATGTTCTTCCCTTAGGAGGCTTTTCATGTGTGCTTGGCACCAACTATCTCTCTATTTGTATCCAAAGACTTGAGGATATTTTTAAAGTTAGATGGGTATTTACTCACATTGACTCACTGTAAGATGGTATGCTGCTGCTTCCTTTGGAAGTTATCTTTACCTTTGCCTTTCAGTATAATGAATCAAGTTTATTCTGAATATACCAAAATAAAAATTAATAACCACCTATATTTAGTTTTTACCATGTACTAGGCACTGTATTAGACTATTATTTCTTTTTTTTTTTTTTGTCTGTTTCATTGAATCCTAATAATAGTTCTATGAAGTAGGGATTGTTAGTAATATCATTATATAGGAAATCAAGAGAAGTTAAATAACTTGATCAAAATTACAAGGCTAGTTAAGTGGCAGAGCTCGGGTCTGAATCACATTTGTGTTATTCCAGAACTCAAGCTCGTCACCACCACCCTATCCAGAGCCTTATCAGGACATTGTTGCCCTTCCGTTTCTAATTTCTCAACTATTTAATGCTTATTATTTTATAGATTATACATAAAATAATTGATCTGGGATATGCCAAAGATGTTGATCAAGGAAGTCTGTGTACATCTTTTGTGGGAACATTGCAGTATCTGGTAAGACATTTATTGTTTCTTTGAATTTAAGTGTCCAAGGTTCTTTTTATTTCTGAAGGTCATAAATATGGTAGTTAAAAAAATAAAGTAGATTTTCTCTTATAGTATTATGTTTAAAGCATTTTTTTTTCTTTTTAAGGCCCCAGAGCTTTTTGAGAATAAGCCTTACACAGCCACTGTTGATTATTGGAGCTTTGGGACCATGGTGTTTGAATGTATTGCTGGATACAGGCCTTTTTTACATCATCTGCAGCCATTTACCTGGTAAGAAATGGAAGAGAACTTTTTTCGGTGTGCTTAATGGGAATGAAATTTTTCAGTTGCCTGCTTTTTTCCTTCTCTCTTTAAGTGATATAATTGCCTTTTAAACACATAATTGAATAAAATTAAATGGCAAAATTCTTAGAATTTTTTGTGAGTCAGGTTGTCTACTGAGGTAGCTTTTATATTTTATAGGCATGAGAAGATTAAGAAGAAGGATCCAAAGTGTATATTTGCATGTGAAGAGATGACAGGAGAAGTTCGGTTTAGTAGTCATTTACCTCAACCAAATAGCCTTTGTAGGTAAGTATATTTCAGTAGAAGTTCATCTCATTTTCTTTAGGGTTGTAAAATAACAGTAGAGTTGTTGTCTGTTTCAAGTAGCATCATCCAGTAGAACTTTCTGTGATGATGGAAATATTTTATATCTGCTGACCACATAAGGCTATTGAGCACTGAAAAGTGAGTAGTGTGACTGAAGAACTGAATTTTAAATTTTATGTAATTTTAATTAACTCTAGTGTAAATGCCAATAGCCACTTTTGACTAGTGGCTCCCATATTAGACAGCACAAGTCTAGTGGAAACAATAACTGCTGCCATTCAACTGATTGGCTTAGGTGCTAAGAAGACTTGGGGTACTGAAGTAAATGGGTTCCTTGGAGAACGGAACTGGACTTGCCTCTTGGAGTTTGCAGCACCTAACTCACATGTATGGGTTTTGGGTTGTTGTTTTTTTTAAAGAAAGAGAAAAAAAACACACATTAATGTGAGAGAGAAACATCAATTGGTTGCCTCCTGTATGCACCCCTATTGGGGATCAAACCTAAAACCTGGGTATCTATTCTGACGAGGAACTGAACCCAGACAGGACGATGCTCCAACTAACAGAGCCACACCAGCCAGGCTTGGGTGTTTTTGTTGTTGTTGTTTTAATTTTTTTTTTCTTTATTGATTTTAGAGAGAGAGGAAGGGAGAGAAGCTAGAAACATTGATGAAAGAGAATATCTGTTGGAAAAATGTTTGTTTCCTCTCATTTCATGAATTATTATTTTTGTTTGTTTATTTTGTTTCTCAGCATGTCCTCAGGTGAGGATGAAAGAGACAGAGAGAGAGAGAGAGAGAAACATAGATTTGAGAGAGAAACATCGATCAATTGTCTTCTACACACACCCCAACTGGGGATTGAACCCACAACCCAGGCATGTGCCCTGACTGGGAATAAAACAGCAATCTTTCCATGCACAGGACATTGCTCAACCAACTGAGCCACTCCAACCTGGCCATTTTATGAGTTATTTGAGAGTAAGATACAAAATGGGACAGACAAGTAATGAGAAAGTAAATGGACAATCGATAAAATTACCTTTTTTACAGTACTAAAGGAAAATTGGAACAAGGATTTTCACCCTATTTGTGTATGTTTTCTAGTTTAATAGTAGAACCCATGGAAAACTGGCTACAGTTGATGCTGAATTGGGATCCTCAGCAGAGAGGAGGACCTGTTGATCTTACTTTGAAACAGCCAAGATGTTTTGTATTAATGGATCACATTCTGAATTTGAAGGTTAGTTTCTTATTAATGGGGTCTATTTCATAAGACTTATATTGAAGTTAACAAGTTTATGTGGAAAATTAGCATACATATATTTTTAATAATCTTTTCCTGATGCTTATTTGAAAAAGAATTATATGTTTAGAGTGAATGTGTTTTTATTTTTTTAGTAAGCTTTCTCAGTTTTACTTTTAAGCGGTCTTTGTTGATTACTCCTTTGAAGCATCTTTTGGATTTTCCCCTTCCTCAAATTAGTGTCATTGTCACCTCATTCATTTAGGTCTGAATTTGGTTTGGTGAGAAAGGTTTCTACCTGGCTTACATGCCTCTATAGTTCTACACATCTTATAATCCATGCAGCATGAACTGTCCATCTTATCTTCTGAAAATACTTTATTATTTCTCTGTCCAAGAAACCAACAGAGTTCTTTCTTACCTACCAAGTAAAATCTAAACTGATCTGCCTTGCTTTTGGGGGCTTTCCTAATGCATGTCCACCCCAACCAAGTTCTTGCCTCGTACCTGCTTCTCTTACCCTTTACTTCACTCAGGACCAGCTGTGACTGCTTCTTATGCCACCAAGCTCATTATCCACATTTGTGCTTAAACAGATGCTATCCTTCTGCCCAGAATTATGTCTGTCTCTGTATCGTCTCTTCACCTACATTGGCACATATTCAGCTCTCCTTTCTGTTAATGGTCTCTGCCACAGTTTGTCATTTAATCATATTTACTATATTCTCTAATTGTTTCTCATCTTCTGCTTATTCCTCTCCTTATAGATTGTCCTCTTCTTCAATGCTGGGATTGTTTTTACTGCTTTTATTAACAATCACCCACTCTACCATCAAGTTATCTCTACCCTGGCATTCTGTATAAAGCAAGGCATGCAATAGGTTCTCAGTAAATCTTCATTGATAAGAATGAGAAGTTTTATGCTATATACCCAGAAACAACTCTCATATACAATCTGCAGTCTTTCCATATTTTTTGGTTGCTATATTAGAAAGGATTTCTAAAATTAATTGAAAAAGTATAATCATGTAAGGTTTTATGCGATTCTTGGAATAGTTTTTAAAGGTAGGAACTTATGGTCATGATGTCATTCGTGACTTAAGTTGAAAAGGTGTCTGGCTTCTTGATTTGGTTTTCTTTTACTATGCCAAGGAATAAATCACCCCTGAATGTGTTAGCCAAGCTGGACAGGGTGATACCTTTAGTTCTTTATTGCCTCCAATAAGTTTCGGGGTTTTTGTTTGTTTATTTTTTCATTCTCACTTGATGATATTTTCCCATTGATTTTAAGATTGAGTAGGAGGGAGGGAGGGGGAGAGAAAGAGAGAGACATCATATTGGTTGCTTCCTGCATGATCCTGACTGGCTCCAGGTATCAAACCTACAAGTCAGGTACATGCCCTTGACCAGGAATTGAACCTGAGACCCTTTGGTCCTCAGGCCAGAGCTCTAACCACTGAGAAACTGGCCAGGGCATGTTTTGGTTTTTATCTCAGACTTTTTTCAGACTTGTCATGGTAAATGTAAATTATTTCTACTTTGAAGTGGGGGGTTGTCTATGATCTTCTGCTTGTTGTAGAGGGTGAGAAAAGAGTCCTCCCTCTCTGTTTTGTGGTCTATAGACTTTAGTAAAGCATCACTATTTACCTATCTGTGAATCTGGGCATTTATTTATTTATTTCTCGAATTCAGTAATAGCTTCTTTAAAGGATCAATGTTATTGTGAGATTGTCCACTATACAGTATATGTAGGGTACTATTTGAACTACAAAATAGTTTGGTATCATTATTCTTCCAAAGTGTTTATTATTCAGTCAAGGAATGATGTCTGTTTGATTTTCATTTAAAAATAAACCAACAAAACAGTTCCCAAAATGTTTCTTTTTCTTTTGAAAAATAGATTAGAGCCTTGTCTGGGTGGCTCAGTTGGATGTCTGTGGTTGGCATTTATTAGGCACTTCATAAATGGGAATGTTTCCTTCCAGGTCTGTGATAATGTTTCTCAGAATAAATAAGTGTTGCCTTTTTAAATTGGGGGGTTTTGTGCTTTCCTAGAACTTTGAAACTTTTTTCCTTGGAACTAACACCTGTTGTAGTGGAAAAGTAAACTTTTGAGTTTTCAGATGTCATTTTATAATTATAGAAGGAGATTTTTCTTTGCAAGATGATCGAACCTTGTATAGTACAGAGATAATGCCTTTTGCTTGTATTCCCTCTAGTATCTAGCACTGAATTTTTTATATTGCAAATGATTAATAACCATTTCTCTTTTCTTATTTATACAGATAGTACACATCCTAAATATGACTTCTGCAAAGATAATTTCTTTTCTGTTACCACTTGATGAAAGTCTTCATTCACTGCAGTCTCGTATTGAGCGTGAAACTGGAATAAATACTGCTTCTCAGGAGCTACTTTCAGAGACGGGAATTTCTCTTGATCCGCGGAAACCAGCCTCTCAATGTGTTCTGGATGGAGTAGTAAGAAAATTCTAATATATCTATAAGAATATAAGAAATCTGTTTGCATAGAGGGGTTGCATGCCCTGATTTTTGGATGTGTATTGGGAATCCCTTGGGGGATGATGCACATCTTATAATTCTTTTAGTTTTATCCTACTTATTTCTTTTTATTCCTTTGCAAGGTGAACAAGGTAGAAGTGAAACATTGGTTATTTTGAATTTGGTATGTCTTTCTCTTTAGTGCTAGTTCTCTCCTCCCTCTTTTTTTTTCTTTTTGTACTTGAAACATAGAATCCTTTTTTTTTAATCCTCACCCAAGTACTTTTTTCGATATTTTTGTTCAGATAGAGTGGTATTTTTGTTCATATAGAGTGTGAGGGGGAGATAGAGAGAAAGGGACACATCGAGTGATTGCCACCCACATGACCCAACCAGGGCCGGGGACAAACTGCAACCGAGGTACGTGCCCTTAGCAGGAACCGAACCCGGGTCTCTCCGGACCTCAGGCCAACGCTCTAACTGCTGAGCCAAACCAGCCAGGGCGAAACATAGAATCTTGAACTTAGACCAGTGGTCTCAGGTCCTGCCAGAGGATACATGGGAGGTAAAATATGACTGGTCATCACTCTTTTCTCATTTTATTTGACTCTATTTTTTTTGTTTTGTTTTGTTTTGTTTTGTTTTGTTTTGTTTTGTTTTATCCTCACCCGAGGACTTTTTTTCATTTTTTGTTCAGATAGAGTGGGAGGGAGAGAGAGGAAGGGAGAGGGAGAGGGGGAGAGAGAGAGAGAGAGAGAGACATCGACGTGAAAGGGACACATCGAGTGGCTGCCACCCGCATGACCAACCAGGGCTGGGGACAAACTGCAACCGAGGTACGTGCCCTTAGCGGGAACCGAACCTGGGTCTCTCTGTACCGCAGGCCAACGCTTCAACCGCTGAGCCAAACCGGCTAGGGCTATTTGACTCTATTGAGGCATATTTTACATATTATATAATTTACCCATTTCAGGTATCTTCGTTTTTTTGTTTTGTTTGTTTGTTTTACCTATTGTGTGGCTATCACCATAAATCAGTTTTAAAATATTTCCATCTCAGCCCTGGCCAGTTTGGCTCAGCAGTTAGAGCATTGGCCCGCAGACCAATGAGTCGCAGGTTTGATTCTGGTCAAGGGCATGTACCTCAGTTGCAATTTGTCCCCTGCCCTAGTTGGGGTCGTGCAGGAGGCAGCCACTCGTGTCCCTTTCACATCGATGTTTCTCTCTCTCCTTCCCTTTCTCCCTCTCCCTCCCACTCTATCTGAACAAAAATGGAAAAATGTCCTTAGGTGAGGATAAAAAATAAACAAACAATATTTCCATCTCAGTAAGATTCATGTCCATTAACTTAATTTCTATTCTGTCCACCCCAGCAATCATTAATTTACTTTATATGTAGATTTGCTTTTTCCGAACATTTCATGTAAATGGATCCTACAACCTGTAGTCTCTTGTGTCAGACTTTTTTTTGTGTGCGTGTGTGTGTCAGATTTTTTGTACTTAGTATTATGTTTTGTTTTGTTTTTTTCTTTATTGATTTTAGAGAGGAAGGGAGAGAGAGTGAGAGAGAAAGAGGAACATCGATTAGCCACCTCCTGCATGCCCCCACTGGGGATTTGGCCCACAACCTGGGCATGTGCCCTGACTGGGAATCAAGCCGGTGACCTCTTGGAGCGTGGGTTAACACTCAGCCAGTGAACCACAGGCAGTAATATGTTTTTGAGGTTCATTCTTGTCATAGCACGTTATCTGTACTTCATTCCTTTTGACTACTGAATAGTGTACTCATTGTATGGGTATATGTTATGACTTTTTTTGCTCTTTTGCCTCTTGGGTCTGGTGATTGTTTTTCACTTTAACTAATACTGAAGTCATTTATTCATTTTTCCTAAACAAAAGTTTAGACCTTGAGTCTGTAAAATGTATACTAATGAACATCGACTTTGTTCATTTGCATTTCAGAGGAGGAAATCTGGTACTTAAGTACTTGAAGAACTTATGATTATCAAGCATCTTTAAAAAAATTGTTTCTTTCTTTTTCAGAGAGGCTGTGATAGCTATATGGTTTATTTGTTTGATAAAAGTAAGACTGTATATGAAGGACCATTTGCTTCTAGAAGTTTATCTGACTGTGTAAATTATATTGGTAAGTCTAGTCCATTTTACTGACTGAGATTTTAACTTGAAATAACATAATTTTGAATTCACATGATTAGTAGAAATGGTTTTTGGTGTTTTTGTTTTGTATCTCATATTTCAGCTTACTGTTTGTGGTGAAAAATGGATTTCTATAGTTTGGAATGTGAAAAGGTAGGTTTTAAATCGCCACCAGATCCCTCACTTGGGAAAAGACTTACTTTCCTGAGGATAGGCCTCTCACAGAAAGAATGAATCTCCATTACTCATTAAGCGTACTTTTTAGTTTCTCCTTCATTATGTAAACATGATCAAATATTTCATTTTATCCTATGAATATTGTTTAATGTTCAAATGTTTTTATTTATCCTGTGAGAATCATTCTTTTCTTTTGAAGAAGGTAGTGGTCATTTTTTGTCTACCCCAAACTAAAATCAAGCTCAAAATTATAAAATCAAGAACAAAATAGTGTGTGAGGGCTAAAATTATTTAATCTTTTCTTTATGTTACCTTTTTATTTTTTAGGACAAATTTACAGAAAAAAAATGAGCAGATAGTAAGTAGTACAGAGTTCTCAAGTTATCCCTCTCCCATACACATAGCTTTCCCCCTTTTTTTTTTTTTAATTCTTACCTGAGGAGATTTTTCCGTTTTTTTGTTCAGATAGAGTGGAAGGGAAAGAGAGGAAGAGAGAGAGAAACATTGATGTGAAAGGGACACATTGAGTGGCTGCCACCCGCACGACCCAACCAGGGCCAGGGACAAACTGCAACCAAGATATATGCTCTTAGCAGGAACCGATCCCGGGTCTCTCGGGACTGCAGGCTGACGCTCTAACCGCTGAGCCAAACCGGCCAGGGCAGCTTTCCCCATTTTTAACATCTTACATTTGTTACAATAAATGAACCAATATTTATTATTAACTAAAGTTCATACTTTATTCAGATTTTCTTAGTTTTTATCTGGTGTTATTTTTCCAGGATACCACATTGAAGTTAGTTGTTATGTCTCCTTAGGCTCCTCTTGGCTGTGACAGTTTCTCAGATTTCTTGTTTTTGATGACTTTGACAGTTTTGAGGAGTACTGGTCAAAGTATTTTGTAAGATGCCCCTCTGCTGTAACTTTTCTGTTTTTTTCCCCTCATGTTTAGACTAGAATTTTGGGTTTGTGAGAGAGAGATCACAATTACCATTTTTATCACAAGGGTACATACTGTCAACATGATGTATGACTATTGGTGTGGACTTTGATCACTTGGCTAAAGTAGAAAGTTGTTAGGTTTCTCCACTGTGAAGTTTAGTCTCTCCTCCCCCACTTCAGTGCTGTACTCTTTGGAAGGAAGTCACTATGCAGAACCCACACTTAAGGAGTGGGAAGTTATGTTCCCCTTTCTTTAAGGTAGGACATCTACATAATATATTTGGAATTCTTCTACACATGAGATTTGTCTCCTTTCCATTTATTAATATATTTAATTATTTATTATTATCAGTATAGATTCATGGATATTTATTTTATACTTTGGATTATAATCCAATACTAACTTATTTATTTTGTTCAAGTCATTGCGGCTTTGGCCATTAGAAGCTCTTTTAGTTGGTTTCCTGTGGCTCTTTTACTTACTCCTTCAGTGAGGATTTTCTTCTTTTTTTTTTTTTTTTATCCTCACCCGAGGACATTTTTGCATTTATCTTCAGATAGAATGGGAAGGAGAGAGGGAGGAAGAAAGAGAGAGAAACATCGATGTTAGAGAGACACATTGAGTGATTGCCACCCACATGACACCAACCAGGGCCGGGGACAAACTGCAACTGAGGTATGTGCCCTTAGTGGGAACCGAACCTGGGACTCTCTGGTCCACAAGCCGGCACGTTAACCGCTGAGCCAAACCGGCCAGGGCGAGGATTTTCTTTGTTGTTAATCCTTACCTGAGGATAGTCCATTGATTTTTAGAGAGAGTGGAGGGGAGGCAGAACAGGAAGAGAGAGAGAGAAATGTTGATGTGAGAGAGACACATCAATTGATTGCCTCCCACATTCACCCCACTGGGCCAGGGATTGAACTTGCAACCCAGGTACATGCCCTTGATCGGGAATTAAAATTATTCAGAGGCAGGAAAGGCCATGGCAGATTGTAGAAGAGATCGGTATTGATTTAAAAATTGAAATAAATAAATAATCTATATTAGAGATAAAACAGTATTCTGGGTGGGGAAAAAAGCAAGGGCAAAAAAAAAAAAAAAAAAGACAGATATAGGAATAATCTCAGGCTTTGTGATTATGTCTTACTCATTTTTATTTCCCCTTGTATCGGGAGCAGGGTTTGTATATTGCAGGTGCTTAGTAAATGTATATTAAACTGAATGAAACAGTGACAGATGGTTCTTTCTAGCATCCATGGAGTGATATTTGTAAGGACTGGAAATCACAAAGGATGATTAATGAACTCCAAAATCATAAAAAGTAACTCTAACCTTTTTTCCCTCCATCTTCTTGCATATAGTACAGGACAGCAAAATACAGCTTCCAATTATACAGCTGCGTAAAGTATGGGCTGAAGCAGTGCACTATGTGTCTGGGCTAAAAGAAGACTACAGCAGGCTCTTTCAGGGACAAAGAGCAGCAATGTAAGCGGATTCTGTTGTTTATAGGGCCAGTGTCATGCACATTAATGGTCAAGAATTAATCTCGCCACTTTCACTGATCAATGTTCTGTGCAATACTAAAATATTAGGCTAGTTTGAAATGTAATATTCTGATCAGTCTTGTAGATTCTTACTAATGGTATGAAACCATGCAATTGCAATGACTTGAGAGTAGTTTCTGAGCAGAGCATTCTAGTATAAAGGAAATTGTGTTACCACAAGCAGAAACTCTTTAGACACTAGATTCTAGAGATCAGCTATTTCTCATAGATTGATAATAGAAATTTGGGCTTTGGGCTTATGGTCATTTAAGTTTTAAAATTTTTGTCCAGTGTTTATGAAATGTTAATTTTTTTATTATTAAAAAAATTCTTTTTGCTATGGTTTAGGTTAAGTCTTCTTAGATATAATACTAACTTGACAAAAATGAAGAATGCTTTGATCTCAGCGTCTCAGCAACTGAAAGCTAAACTGGAGTTTTTTCACAAAAGCATTCAGCTTGACTTGGAAAGATATAGTGAGCAGATGACTTATGGAATATGTAAGTTTTGGGGTAATATATTTGAAAGAAGTTTCTAGTCTTTTGAAGCCATCTGCTATTTTGCCTTCATGCCTCATACCCAATTGTTTCTCTTACATTCATCATTAGAACCAAAGACAGGGCACTCAGATCATCATAAACCATGTTTGTTTTGAATGTTAGCTTTTATTTTAACTTTTAGTTGAGCAACTTGACAGGTTTCCCCCCACAATTGGACTAAAGTTGGTTAGCTCCAGAAAAATACAAAAGTGATTTAAGAATTTGTGATTTTCAAGCTACATATAGAAAATAGATACAAAATCCATATTGGAATGACTTCTTAGCCAGTGAAATCCTAAAGTACTTATTTTTTTGTAAATAATAACACAAATAATTCTGGGTTTTGTTTTGTTTTCCATTCCCCCTACTATGTAGTCCCACTTTTGTATTATATACAGCCCCCAATTTTTCAGTATTTGACTTCAAGCTTATCTCCCTTTAGATATACTAAGGAAATGTAAACAACAGAGTTAAAATCAAAATAAACTGAAGAGGTCACCACCAGCATTTCCGTTTGTTTGTTTTTTTCCATTGAAACAAATCCTTTTTTTTAAAAAACAAATTCTGTTTGTATACTTGTCTTGAATAAGGTGTATGTATCTTGGACTAAATGATCACCAATGTCCAATTGGGTAAATATATTTACCCACTAGAGCTGGTTATGATTGATGTTTTATTTCTAGTTGTGTATTATAGGTATTCTGGTAAATTGCAAAACATTATAATTATTTCATCAAATTATCTTTGACTTGTCAGTTGTATATCTTTTTTTCTTTTTCTTTATTGATTTTAGAGAGAGAGTAATGGAGAGAGAGAGAAACATTGATGAGAGAGAACATTGTTGGCCACCTCCTGCACATCCCCCACTGGGGATTTGGCCCACAACCTGGTCATGTGCCCTAACCAGGAATCGAACTAGTGACCTCTTGGTGCATGGGTCGACGCTCAACCACTGAGCCACACCAGCCGGGATGTCAGTTGTATATCCTATACAACTGTAAAAAAGAATGAGGAAGCCCTGGCTGGTGTGGCTCAGTTGGTTTGATATCATCTTGTACACCAAAAGGTTGCCAGATTGATTCCCAGTCAGGGCATGTGCCCAGGATGTGGGCTAGATCACCAGTAGATGGCATGCAGGAGGCAACTGATCGATGTTTTACTCTCACATTCTTTTCTCTCTCTCCTTCTCCTTTCCTCTCTCTCTTAAACTATCTCTCTTAAAAAAAAAAAAAAAAAAATGAGGTAGAGGGTATCCATATCAGCTCTATATAAGATTATATACAAAGGTATCACACACACACACACACACACACACACAAAATGAGGTAGACCTATGTGTGCTATTAAAAGATCACTTGGATTGCGTTGGCCGGTTTGGCTCAGCAGTTAGAGTGTTGGCCCGTGGACCAAAGAATCACGGGTTTGATTCCGGTCAAGGTCATTTATCTTGGTTGAGGTTTGATTCCCGGCCCTGGTTGGGTCATGCAAGAGGCAGCCAGTCGATGTGTCTCTCTCACATTCACATAGATGTTTCTCTCTCTCCTCACTCTATCTGAAGGTAGTTGGAAAAATATGCTTGGGTGAGGATTTAAAAAAAAAAAAAAAGATCACTTGGATCTTTAATGGCAGTGATGTTTTAAGTTGGGGGGCAAGAAAGCAAAGAAAGATATGTAGCCCTGGCCAGTTTGGCTCAGCGGTTAAGAGTGTCAGCCTGCGGACCAGAGAGTCCCTGGTTTGGTTCCCACTAAGGGCACGTACCTCAGGTGCAGTTTGTCCTCAGCCCCTGTTAGGGTTGTGTGAGTGGTAACCATTCGGTGCGTCTCTCACATGGATGTTTCTCTCTCTCTCTTCCCCCCTCTCTCCCTCCCGCTCTATCTGAAGATAAATGCAAAAAAAAGATATGTAATGATGATCTCACTTGTGAAGGAAAGGGTATGTGTCTGATAACAGATGATCAAGTAAGATCCCATAGGATGGAGTGTGGAAGGGAGGAAGAGAGAATTTTCTTTTTATATCCTTTTATAATGTGTGATTTAAAAAAAAAAAATCATTTTCACACATCACTTTAATAATTTTCTTTCTTTTTTTAAATGAGAAATACATCTATATTAGTGTCCTAGGGCTGCCATAACAAATTACTATAAACTGGGTAGTTTAAAACAACAGAAATTTATCATCTCCCAGTTCCAGAGGCTAAAAGTTCAGTATCAAGGTGTTGGCAAGGCCATGATCCCTCTGAAACCTGTGGAGAGGAATCCTTCCTTGCTTTTTCCTGGCTTCTGGGTGGTTTATAAGCAGTCCTTGGCATTGCTTGGCTTGCAGCTGTAGCACTTTAGTCTCTGCCTCTGTCATCAAATGGAGTTCTCCCTTCATACATCTGCATCTGTGTCTCTTCTCTTTTAAGAACCCTAGTCATACTGAACTAAAGGTCCACCTACTCAGATTGACCTCATCTCAATTTAGCCAACTATCTGCTTTTTTCCAAATAAGGACACATTCTGAGGTACACTGAGTTAGGATTTCAGCATAACTTTTGGGGGGACAACTCAACCCATAACACTGTTTTTGATGTTGATATGGCAAGGAGGTGTATAGGTCAGTAATTAAAATTATGTATTTTCTGAGATAACCAATTAAGACTTTTTTTTTAGCCTCCGAAAAAATGTTAAAAGCATGGAAGGAAATGGAAGAAAAGGCTATCCACTATGCTGAGGTAAAATCACTGAGCTCATTCTATGTGTTTCTTTATTTCTGAGGTCACCCTTTGGAAACTTTCTTTGGTTTGGGTATGTAGAGTGTTTTTCATGTCATTTATGAATATCAAATATCTAGTAGATCTTTTGTGTATATATTATAAAGGGAAGTATCATACTGGATAAAAATAACAGTGTTGGCAAATGAGGCTAAACTAAAGCCTCAGTGGGCTTCAGTTTCCATATTATATTATGGAGACTATACCTTTTCTAGTAAGATTATTCAGATTAAATGGGAATAAATAGTAAGTGATAGTTATCATTGTTATTTGTATGACTGGTTTAGAAAGGATAGCTGCATATCCTGGTTTACCTAGGACAGTCCTTTTATACCTTTCTTGCCATAATTATCAACAGTACTTTCTTTCACTCTCAAAATTATGCAGGTTTGGACAATAAGTTATATGGTCATGCTAGGCATAGATCATTCTCTAGGTGACAGATTCCTTACATCTGTACATGGGTCCACTAAATTGTTGCTGTCCTTGGTGCTATAACTTACCCTGAGGAGACGGATGGGACAGTTGGTATTCTGGGGTAGAAAATCCAATGTCTTTATTTTTCTGCGTCCTTATTTCAAGGCAGCCGGGAACAAGAGGCAATGAAAATCATAGAATTGATATGAAGTGATTTTGATGGCCATTTTTCCTCTGAGTTGTTAGTGACACATATCTTTTTGCTTCTCAGGAGGAAAAAACAAATGCTAGTAGTTTACTGTTGTTAGGAGAGAAAATTGAGAAGCATAGGAATAAGTATGTTCTTGTGAAAGATTGTCAGAATCTGAAAGATAAAAAGGCTTGAACAAAATTGTTGTTTCATATTAAATCGTTTAGTTCTACTGAAGCAGCAAGTCATTCTTTGTCTGAGTTCTCTGTGTTGTGTGGTGGTGAGCCTGTTATTTCTTTTATGTTTCATCATATTGTAGGTCGGTGTCATTGGATACCTGGAGGATCAGATCATGTGCTTACACACTGAAATCATGGAGCTACAGAAAAGCCCTTATGGAAGACGTCAGGGAGACTTGATGGAATCTCTGTAAGGACATTCTCATATTGTTGGTATTGGTATTTATCATTTTTTGTAGCAGATCATTCTTTCTGTGTACATCTGGCAGATTAAGTCTGTATGTGGTTATTTTCTATAGTTCCCCTTTCCCCAAATATGTTGGCATCATATTTAGAAAGGAAATTTTTTCTTAGTCACTGGAAATTTTAGAACTAACCCTTTGGGTTGACCTTTGCTATTTTAATTAAATAATCTTTTCATGTGAGTGTTAAGTATTCTAAGTTATAGACTATATCTCTCTTACCATACGTATTGTATATTAAATGCCCTAAATGAGGTTAACTTCCTAAATGTTTGGATTAGAAACCTATGATTTTGTTCTGTAATCACAGAGCATAATTTTTGCCCATTTAAGTGTTTCTGGTGCAAGGATCAGAAATGTGGTGTTAGACCACAGCAGATAGGAAGTATATTAAGCCCTGGCCGGTTTGGCTCAGTGATTAGAGCATTGGCTCACAGACGACACAGTCCCAGGTTTGGTTCCTGCTAAAGGCACATACTTCGGTTGCAGTTTGTCCCTGCCCTGGTTGGGGTCATGTGGGTGGCAGCCAGTCGATGTGTCTCTCTCACGTCGATCTTTCTCTCTCTCCCTTCCTCTCTTCTTCCTGCTCTATCTGAAGATAAATGCAAAAAAAATGTCCTCGGGCGAGGATAAAAAAAAAAGTATGTTAAACTTTTAATTTTAAGATTTTTCTTATTACTCAATGAGATTCTCTGTTAAATATTTGTTGGAATATATACTTGCTTTAAAATTGGACCATTTACTCTCTTCAAGTAATATTGATCATTTGAAGCTGTAGATTATTAGAGTTGTTAAATTATCTTTACAGGGAAGCATGTTTTCTCTTTTGTAGGGAACAGTGCGCCATTGATCTGTATAAGCAGTTAAAGCACAGACCTTCAGGTAAGACACTTTTATCACAGTACACAAAGGCATTTTAGGAAACCATCCCTAACAAACAAATCCTAGCCTAACAAATCCTGATGATTGGATTTTAAATAAGCTGCAGAATAAATTCCAGTTTTGATATTTCAATTGAGATGTTTATGGTATACCAGCTTTTAGTTAGTGAGAATTTAAGACATGAGGAAGGCAAAGTTAAAAGAAAATTGAGATGGAAAAAAAATATTTTAGAGAGAAGTGAAAGGTAGGAATGAAAGAGGAAAAAAGGAACGCAAGAGGAAGAGGAAGCAAAAAATGTGTGGAAAGATGGAAAATAGTAAGTGCTGCTTAAGATTAGAAGGATTGGCCCAGGCTGGTATGGCTCAGCGGTAAGAGCGTTGGCTCGTGGACCAAAGAGTTGTGGGTTTGATTCAGGTCATGGGCATGTACCCCAGTTGTGGTTTGGACCCCGGCCCTGGTCGGGGTCATGCAGGAGGCAACTAGTCGATATGTCTCTTTCACATTGATGTTTCTCTCTCTCACCCTCTCTCTCTCTCCCTCCCTCCCTCCCTCCCACTCTATCTGAAGATAAATAGAAAAATATCCTCAATGAGGATGAAAAAAAAGAGAGATTGGAAGGGAATTGACATTACAGGTTCAGGTGTGGAATGGTCAGAGGGAGTACCCATGTGCTAGGCCAAAGCAGTTTACCTTGAAAATGATGCTGGCAAAACAATTCCTTTTGAACATCTGCTGAATACAGAGCATGGTCTGCTGGAAAGAGCACTGGATTGGGAATTGAAAGGCTTGAATTCTAGATTGGGCATTTTACTGACCAAGTGACTTTGGGAAATTACCTAATCTCTCTGTCTACTTTCTCTTTTCTGCAAAATGGCATTAAAACCTCTTTCCTGACTCAGTGAGTGCATGTGGCATTGTATTTGAGAGCATGTTTTTGAAAATGCTTTAGAAACTATAAAGTATTATGTACCTTTAAGATTATTTATCCTTCAGTTAAAAATTGGTTTGTTTTTGTTCTGGCTGGTTTGGCTCATTGGCAGAGAGTCAGCCGGCGGACCAATGAGTCGCAGGTTCAATTCCAGTCAAGGGCATGTACCTCAGATGTGGTTCGTCCCTGGCCCTGGTAGGGGTCATGCGGGAGGCAACCAGTCATTGTGTCCCTCTCACATCGATGTTTCTCTCTCTCCTTCTCTTTCCCTCCCACTCTATCTGAAGATAAACAGGAAAATAACCTCAGGTGAGGATATAAAAAAAAAAATTGGTTTGTTTTGAAGGGTTATAGAACAAAATAAAAAGTGAAGTCTGCACACTAATTTGCTATATATTGTAAAAAAAATAACCATGACATTTCACTCTTTAAAATGTATAAATACATGCAAATATACATGTGAAATTGTATTTAACAAATAACATGATCTCCTCTACAGTTTTTATTATAGAGGACTTTGTTCAGTTTATTTTTACAAACATTTATGAGGTACATACAAGATGGGCACCTAACCCTGCCTGGTAGTGAGGGATGGTTAGAGGAGATGTCTTGTAGGAGATGACGTCTGAGATGAGGATTAAAGGATCGTTCATAGTAGGTAGGTGAAAGAAGGTGGGCTGTTGATATACAAGTATAATAGGCAGAGACATGCATGTATAACACTTAGTATGTTTGAGGAAATGCACTGTGACTGGATTGTAGTTTCAGGAGGAGAAAGAGATTTGGCTGGATCATAAAGGATCTGGTAAATCATGGTAATGAGTTTGGATTTCATCATAATGACGAAGACAGAAATCCTAAAAAGTTTTAAGCAGGGGATTAGCATGATCAGGTTAGCATTTCAGAAATACTGCTCAGAGAGCATGTGGATAATGGATTAAACTGTGACTAGGCTAGAGAGAGGGTCATTAGGTATGAGGTGTTGAAATAATCATAGCTCAGTATATGGTGGACCATGAGCTAAGACATAGAGCACAAACTGTGGAGGAGGGTAAGGGCAAGAGAGATATTTGGAGGTAGAACTGATATTGTTGGTTGATTGATTGAACATGAGGTAGAACTGATATTGTTGGTTGATTGATTGAACATGGGTGGCTGGAGATGGAGTTAGGGAGTCATAGATGCCCACCAAGGTTCTGGTGAGGGCAGCGGGGTGCATGGTAGGACCACTCACCATAATAGGAAGTAAAGGAAGGATGTCAGACTTGATGGGAAAAGAAGATGAGTTCATTTTTGTATATATTGATGTTAAGGTGTCAGTGGAACATTTAAGTAGAGATGTCTAATAAACAGTCCTAGATACATATGTATATATGTACAGGGAATACTCAGTGTCATCAATAGATTCTGCAACTTTAAGTGAAATAACATATAAGTAAATCAATTTTACCATAGGTTGCTTGATTTAAACAAAAGTTAAAATCTATGGCATCAACTTTATTTATTTATTTTTTTTTTATCCTCACCCGAGGACATTTTTTGATATTTTGCTCAGATAGAGTGGGAGGGGGAGAGAGAGAGAGAGAGAGAAACATCGATGCGAAAGGGACACATCGAGTGGTCGCCACCCACACGACCCAATCAGGGCCGGGGACAAACTGCAACCGAGGTATGTGCCCTTAGTGGGAACCGAACCTGGGTCTCTCCAGACCGCAGGCCAACGCTCCAACCACTGAGCCAAACCAGCCAGGGCATATGGCATCAACTTTATATGACATGACTATGTTATTTTAGGACCTGCTGTATATATATGCATGTATATATAAATATGTACATATGCATGTGGATTTAGTAGAGAAACCTTAGCTAGATATTTAGCTATTTTGAGAGTAATTAGCCATATGAATAAAGTGATCATCCTGAAAAAGTAGGTTGAGTAAGAATGCCAGGATGGATGGAATTCTACGGAATACCAACATTCAGGAAATGTCTAGAAGTATAAGAGCCTTCAAAGAAGATTGGGAAATGCCAGAATATGTAGAGGGAATGATATGGATAGGAACAGGACAGAGAGTTGCAAGAAGAAAGTAATCAGGGTGAAATGCTACAGAGGTGTAGGTAATAAAAATGATAATGAGATATTCGTTGGACTAAGCAGTTTGGACATCATTGTGATTTTAGCAAAATATATGTGATCTTGGCCTTTTGGGAACAGAAACCATATTGTAGTAAGCTAAGGAGGAAACAGGACAGGAGGAAATGGAGAAGCCAGTCTAGAACAGCAGTTCACAAAGTGTGGCTCATGAATACCTCTGACAATCCCTGAAATCTTTTCAAGGAGTAAATGAGGTCAAAACTGTTTTCACGATATTAAGATGTTATTTGCCTTTTTCACTATGTTGACATTTTCACTGATACTGCAAAAGCATAGGTGGGTAAATGGCTTGTACCTTACTTAGCATGAATGAAGGCACTAGCACCAAACTATACTGGAAGTCATTATACTTTTCATCACCATGCAGTTACAGTTTTTTTTTTAATGTCAGTTTTATTTAAGTGTCCTTGATAAAGCAGTGAAAATTTTATTTAACTCTCAACCCTTGAGTACATGTCTTTTTGTTGTTGTTGTTGAAAGTGTTATAGATGTTCTCTTTTTTTCCCCATTGACCCCCTCCTCCTCGTTCCCACCCCTCTCCTGCTTTCCCCAACCTAATGTCTGTGTCCATTGGTTGTGCATATATGCATATAAGTTCTTTGGTTAATCTCTTTCCCCACCCCTCCACCCCCACATCCCTCTGAAGTTTGTTAATCTGTTCCCTATTTCCGTGACTCTGGATCTGTTTTCGACAGCTTACTTTGTTCATGATGTTCCTTAGAGCACATGTCTTTTTAATATTGTGTGTGATGAAATGGAACATACTCATAAGTGCTTCTGCTATGATGGCTGTCTTAAGGAAAACCACCTCAGCAATTGTTTACATTGCTTATGAACTGACTTCTTTCATGGAACACCATTTTTACTTAAAAGAATGACTGTCAGATAAACTATGTGGTAGAAATCCTCTCAAAAATTAATGAAGCATGCCTGTTATGAAAAAAAAAAACCCACAATATTAGTGTCATTGATAAAAATTCCACGTTTCAAGCAAAAAAAATCAGAATTTAAGAAAACTTGTATCCATCAACTAAAATTTGTCAACTTCTCAATACTTAAAGACTTTTCTGATGAGGTCAGTAGTGATAGTAAAACAATTTACAAAAGTGTAAAACAAATCCAGTTTTTTCACTAAATTTCTTTTTGTTTAGGAAAATATTAATTTTTAATAAAAAATGTTAATAGTTTGTTCTTTTTATTTTTGTTGTTGCTAATCCTCACCTGAGGATATTTTTCCATTGATTTTTAGATGGAGTGGAAGGGAGGGAGGGAGAGAGAGACACACATTGATTGGTTGCCTCCCACACGACCCTGACTGGGTCCAGAGATTGAACCTGTAACACAGGAATGTGCTCTTGATCGTGAATTGAACCCACAACCCTTCAGTCCTCGGGCCAGTGCTCTAACCGCTGAGCCAAACTGGCTAGGGCAATTTGTTTCTATTTTTACATGAATAAATATATATTTTAAATTTCTCAGTTTAATTCGAAAAACACTTTGGTGCTTTAAAGAATTTTTTAGTGTGAAGGGGTCCTGAGATCAAAAGTTTAAGAACTGTTTATCTAGGCTATGTGGGGGTTTTTTTGTTTTGTTTTGTTTTAATCCTCACCCAAGGACATTTTTCCATTTTTTGTTCAGGTAGAGTGGGAGGGAGAAAGAGGAACAGAGAGAGAGAGAGAGAAACATCGATGTGAAAGGAACACATCAAGTGGCTGCCACCCGCACAACCGACCAGGGCCGGAGACAAACTGCAACCGAGGACCGCAGGTCGACACACTGACAGCTGAGCCAGACCGGCCAGGGCTAGGCTATGTGTTTTTTTTTCCCCAGAAGCTTGGCTGTTAAGGATAGAAAAGGGAACAGCTATGAGGAGATGTACAATCAGGGAAGGTCAATTTTCAGAGGGAAGACTTGAGC